AAAAAAACTTGATTTCAGATTCACTGTCTTTTAATGAAGCTGGATTTTTAAGAGACCTCCACAGTTTTGGTGATTGGTGGCTTTGGGGTTGTTCTTTTGGTTTGGTTTGTTTGGTTTTTTTCATGTGGAAGCTCCAAGCTTTCCACTGGTTGAAAAAGAGCTCTTAATATTATTTTTTTTTGTATTAACCTTCATACTATTAGTGGGTGCAGAAGTGTTCTGGTAAGGTTCTACCTCTTGTGCAGGCTTGAATTGGAGGATCTTGTGGGACTGTTTCAAGCAGAAACAAAACTTGTGCATTCCAAAATGTCTTCCACTTTAAGTACTCGTTTTAGAAGGACTTTCAAAGTAAGAATAGAGCAAAAAGGTACTAAAATCCTCAAGTTGAAGTTCATGTGTTGATATGATAAAATAGTGGACCCTCAAGATGCAAAAAACCCCCAATCATTCTGAAATTGAACGCTTGATTCTGGGGCAGTGGAGTGCATGTAAAAAGAGGTTGTTACACTTGTTACACTTCTGCATGCTTGAGTAACACTTTGAGTGAGGTAGGTCTTGAAGGAAGAATTTGAACGTTTTTCCAGGGAATTTGGAGAAGATATTTCTCTTCTGAAACTTAAGATAGTTAAGATAGGGAAACATTTAAGAATAAGCTGACATAAGGAAAACATTTTCTCAACAGCGATACGTGGGTGGCTTTCCGCGGAGCATGGAAGGTTTTGTCACTCTAGATGAGGTTGGTGATGAAGAAGACTCGGATCATCAAAAACTCCGCAAGTCGGGTTTGGCAGTAAAATCTGCTGGCAAAAATGATGATAGTTTGGCAGAAATCAAGGTAGACAAGATTGAGGAGCCAGAACAGGAAAATGAAACGTTAGAAAATGGAACCAAAACTGAAGATAATTTGAAGGCTGAAACTGTTGAAGCTTCTGATACCACAACAGCACAGGATACTGAGAAGAATGCCCATGAAAATGCAGACACCCAGGATGAACAGGAAACAAAGAATGTCCAAGAGAAACCTCTGGTTCCAGATGAATTTAGGATTGGGCCGTACCAGCCAAACATTCCTGTTGGTAAGGCTGTTTCCATTACTTTTCAAATATGTCTCCTGCATTGCAGTAGCATTTCTCATTTCATTTGCCTTTTATTTCTGGCAACGCATTGCCTCTGAGCCTTTCATTTTAGGGTTTCCCACTCTTCCCTTCTTCACTCCTCCCCTAACCCTAGTATTTTCTTTTTCCCTTATTTTCATACAGTTCTCCATAACACTTTCCTTAGGCAGAAATTAAATGGGAAGAGGTATATTTTAGCAACACAAATTCAATTAATAGCACAAATCACAATAGTGGTAATAGTTTAGATGTTTAGATTCATACTAAATACTCAGAACTCAGAAACTGATCACAGAACGTTGTTAGTTCTTTTGAAGGTACCAATAAAATGGACCCTTAATCTGAAAGGCTGATATTAAATTTAAAAAAAAAAAAAAAAAAGCCTGCACATACTTAGTTCTTACTAGGCCCCGGCTTGACTAAACTAAAACAAGGGCTTTTAAAGATAAAGCAGCTTTTAATGTAAAGTGAATTATGGTTTTAAGATTTAGCTGAAATGACATATGACATTAAAAGAAATGATGTAGAGTAGATCTCTTAGTTTATTTTGTGGTGTTTACTTCTCTAGGTGTGAATTATGTGGTACCCAAAACAGGGTTTTATTGCAAATTGTGTTCCCTGTTCTACACAAATGAAGATGTTGCAAAAAAGACCCATTGCAGCAGCCTTCCTCATTATCAAAAGTTGAAGGTAAGGCAAAAACTTGTTCATTTTAAATGGCGTGATTCTTTCCTGGGGAATAGATCTGAACGAGACTGGACTGAGGAAAAAAAAAAAGCTTTCAGGCAGTGGAAATTGGCTTTTTCTATAACTTTTAACTCAAGCTAGACCTCTCCAGAACTTCATCTTTCGAAAATAATACACAGGATACACATTTTAAAGATGGGCTCCAGCATTTTTTTTGTAAATTTGGATTAAAGAGGGCATTCCGATTGGAGGAAAGGCCAGGCTTAGAAGTAGTGGTGCAGAGTAAATACAGATGACTCAAATCCCTTCCAGTTGTCCCTCTGAGAGTAATTTTAACCAGTCAACAGAACTTGAGCCAAAGTTTTATATATCTAAAAAAAAAAAAAAATCCCTCTTTGCAACTTCTGATTTTGTGAGCATGTTTTACAATTTCTAATTGGATTAGGTATCACATGATTGCATGGCATGAATGATAATGCTGCTGCTGTATCTTTGTGTACTGTGAGCTGCTTTTAAATACCACCTCTGAGAAAGAGAAATCCTAAACAAAATTCTAATAATAATGAAATGTTCACATAAATTGATTTCATACCAGTAGATGATTGAGCTGAAAACAAACCCTGGGTGTTCCGTTAGAAAAGAAGGTGGCATCTCGGACTCAAAGCATTTGCTTTCTCTCTTGCGCCAATAGAGAACCCTAAACAAATGCAGGGCCCTGGAAGGCAGATGGCACAAATAAATGTCACAAAGCAAACAACATTATGAAGGAGTAGATCAGAAAATCAAATTACCATGCAGAATCTTGTAGTAAGAAAAACCCACCTCATCCATCACCCATAGCTTTTTTCTTTTTTTTTTTTTCCATTGAGGTACCTGATTATGGGACTTGAAAGACTTGATGTAAAAGGGGAGGTGGGGGAAATAATCCCAATTTATTAACTTTATCACTGATTTAAATGAAACGTGACTTGATTTGCTTTTTCCATGACAACTAACTAGTGAGCTGCTCTTGAATGACTTTGTTACATCGGTGTGGTTTTAGAATCGGGGAGGGAAGAGGGGGAAATGCAGCTTTTGTTTCACAATGGCAAGACACTTCTCTAGCTGGCTGTCTTGTTCACTTTGAGAGCAGTAAAAGTAAATTAATAGATGAATCGATATTGCTATCAGATGTGTGATAACAAATTCCTGAAACTTCCAAAATAACCCTTCCCTAGGGAGATGTTTTGTCCCTGGCTTTATAGATGGCAAATTATGACCAGGTAAGTGGCACAGCTGCTGTCACAAGTCCCTGACAAAATGGAAAGTAATCCTCTTGGTTTGCCAGCCCGTTGGGAAGGCGTTAATGGCAGGGCCAGATAAATGATTGTAGAGGCTGCCATTTGGTGTTCGCTGGTGGCGAGCTGCATGTTCGGTGACATAATGGTGATGTGGTGCTTCAGAGGAGCTCCACTTCACTTCATTCTATGGAGAAGCACCAGTCTTGCTAGTTACGACCTTTGCAGTTAATATTCGTGGATTTTTACAACTTGAAAATTGGATTTATGTTTCTATTATTGATGTTGTGACTCTGAGAAACTCTTTAAATATATCCAAAATATGGTTGCTTTCTTTTAACAGAAAATTCTGGATAAAATGGCAGAAGACCACAGACAAAAGAAAGAAGCTTAAAAGGAAGGAAGGAAGGATGTAAGGAAAACAGTGGCTTTGTTTTTAATGTTAATCTTTTTTAAAAGCAGTACAAGTAGTAGATGGAAATACTGTATTCTTTTTTTTTGTTTGTTTTAGTGAAATACAGTAGGCATTATAGGTCTGTTCATGTGTTAAATGTTGTAGCAAAAAGCATACGCAGTTAAGTTAATGACAAAAATTTGTTCTTAATGTGAGAATGGCAACAAGTTTTTGTTTTGACACTTCAAGCTAGTAAAGAAAAAAATCTTGCACCCTTGTGGAAAGCTCATCTATGGGAAGAAAACTTCATTTACGTGAAACTTGCTATTTTCAAGCTTCAGAATTTGTCTTTCAATTCCATTCTCAATAAAAAATAAAAAGTAACACTGTATTTTTATTTTATCTAGAACATTCCATATTTCAGTCTGAGCCTAGCAGATACTTAATTTGGAGCATAAGGCTGTCATTGCATTTCACTTTCGAAAAGTCTTTAAATGTAAGTTGCATTTTTAAATGTTGAATTGCAGTTTCTTTTAATGTCATTGCTGTTATATAGCAAATAGGAAAATTAGTGATTAGTCAGCTTTACAACTTTGTGATTTTTTTTTCCTAAGCTCTTGATAGACTTTCCTATTCAGCTATTCCGTGTATTTTTAGTGAGAAGTAAATGCCCATTCTCCTCTGACCAGTATTATTTCCTTGAGCTCTTCCTGCTTTTACTTGAATCTTGTAGCTGTCGTACATCTCTAGTATATTCAAAAGCAGCATTTGAGTCCTGAAATGTAAAAAGGTATCTTTATATTCTTCACATGTAATTTTTTCATACCTGCGTTTTAAAACCATTTTTGTTAAAATCTGGTTTCGTCAAGAATCTTTAGAACTGTGCTCTTAATGTACCTGCACATGTGAGATGTGAACAGGAATTTGCATGTGTAACCTGTGTTTATATGTAGTTTTTGTTATTTACTGCTTATTTGTGAATTCAGGTTACTAAAGTGATTTACCAATAAACAAAGCTAGGCAACGGTAATTTGTTATAGATGTTTGGCATGTTAACCACTGTGTCTACTGAACTCTACTCCTGTGTTCATGATACCACACAAACTCTAGCTGTCTTTTTAAAATTTTGCATGTTTTAACACCTGTGATTTAGCAGCTTACTGCATAACTTGTCTTTCCTAAAACCTCTTTCATTTCCAAACAAATTAAAATATCACTTGTTAAAACACTGGTAGGTATATTCTGCTGGCAGTTTTATTTTTCAAGTTTTCTGGTATTTTCATTACAGCTGAAGTCCAAGCCGCATCACGTTCATGTGGATAAAAGTGACTAGGGACAATTCTTTAGACCTCAGCCTCTTGGCCAACAGGGAGGCTTCAGCGCTAAGAAGGGGTTTGAAATGTAGGAGGCTGAATCTTGATGAAGTTAATTTGTTTAAGCAAATACATCTAGCAGACCCATGGTGGTGTGCTTAGTGGAAGTAAAGTCTTGATAACTCATCTTCCCAGTTGCAGCTTTCTGCTGTTGCATCCTCACAAAAAGGGGAGGCGTGCAATCCCTTTTGTGCAAGGATTAAGTAGAACTTGAAACGAGATGGTAGCAGTTTCTCTGGGGACTCTTCATACAGGGTGGTGAAATGCTAATAAGCAGATAATGGTGCAGATTTTATTTAAATAGCATATCTAAAGTATAAAATCTTATGCAGTGACTCATTCTTGCACTTTTACAAAGATAAGTTACTGCTTTGTATGTGGCACTTGTTAGCATGCAAGGTTTTGTTTGTGTTTGTATGACATTGATTAAAGGTAATGCAGTGATACAGTCTTCAAACTATTCTACAGCTTTCCCAGGCCCCTGAAAGAAAGTGCGAGCAACAGCAGCCCTGCAGTCAGTTCTATTTTGACAAAGTCACAAGGATGTACTTGGACCCCCGCTTGCTTATGATGACATTTGTCATTCATCTGTCTCCAAGAGGCGGCTGAGTTCATCAGCCAAGCGGAGGGCCTGACTTCAAAGCAGTCATTCATTGGCAGTCCCCCCCCCCCCTTCTCTCCAAAGATGGTAGATAAGAATTTATTTTGAAGGTCTCCACCTCCCCCAAGAATTTTAAGTTTCCTTACAACATGCAGTTAAGATTAATGTATCAAATACTACAGCCCTGTGTGTTTTATTTTTAACGTAGCCTTTCCTTAGCTTTTACCTGCATCTTAAATAGCTGTGCAGTTCAATCATCTTGCACCTAGTGTTGCCAGCCTGTTGTAAATGCTAACCTGGGTAACTGCCAGGGATTAAACTGTGGGAGGATGTTACGTCATGTTTACTGTAGAATATAGAACATGAATTCCCAGGCGCAAAGTAATTGCGGTGTAGTCCAACTTTGGTGTTAAAACTCTCGGTTTCTGGCATCGGTGGATGTTAGATGCCTAATGTGTGTGCTTTCAAAACCCTGATTTATGTGCAAGTCTTCACACCTTGTACATGTGCAACAGGACACCAGAAAATAGGTCAAACCTAATTTGCTTCTGCAGAATGTCTTCTGTTCACATGCAAAGGATGGGGAGAATACATACTGCCTTACGCTCATTTCTGGTGAAAAGAAGGCATCAGAATAATTTGATCTTGAGGACAGATGCCAAGAACACTTTGGTGGCAGGTTGGTATGTGGTCTTGCCACAGGCTGCTTACTCTTTGGAAATAATGGTGCCTGCATTGCTCTGTGATTTAGATGCCAGCTTTCACACATGAATTTCAACTGAGAATTCTGAGTAACCCTAGAGGCTGGTGCCTTTTTGCTGTGTGTGTAGTTCAGCAGAGGTGCTGCAGAGCACCGTGGAGAAGTCAGCAGAAAAAGAAGCCTCGTTGTAGGTGAGGCTGGATTTATTAAAGCAGAGTTGGAAATAGGAGTAGGAAGAACAGTTGTAGTTTTGAATTTATTTTATTTTTTTAAGGATGATCCTTGCAAGGGTATTTTAAGGTTACACTGCTAGAAGGTAAGCATTTAGTGAGCATTATCATGGGCCACAAAGCTCTTAGGCTGTGGAAACAAGTTAGTAATGGTGACCAATAAAATCAGTATAAACAGCTTGATCAAGGGAGAATGAGTCCCCAGAAAATCTGAGAAAACTTAGGCTTTCTATAGAGTTCGTTATCCCTTAGTTAAATTTAGGAGGAAGGAAGTAAAGGGCTGAGCAGAGAAATGTTAATGAAATTGCTATCCTCAGATAGCCCCTTTCCTGCTTACAAGCAGCCTACGTGGGTGTTCTGATAGCACAAGAAACTTTCCGGCCTAACAGGTGGTGTAATGGGAAGCGCGGAGCCGGGCGTGCTGGCCTGGTGACGGCTGACTTCTGAGCCTGAAAAAACCTGTTCCCCCGTGGCAACTCTTTAACTCCTCATGGCTTTCGGGGTTAGCGAAGGTGACATTTCTGCATCCTCAGCCCGCTTTTGGGTTTTGCAGTTGCACACTAACGTTTTTCTGCTGTGTATTTCCCAGCTTGCTGTTGGGGCGGGTTTCCTGCTTTTTTGCTTGCGTGCCTGTTGTACCCGGGCGGGTGTTGAGGGGTTTTGTGACACCGTGCTGACTCCAGAGTGGGATGATGTTCCGTAGTGGCCTGGATGGGCCAAAGGGTCTTTAACGCTGTCGCTATCTACTTTCTCTTTTTAAGAGGTGGTGAAGATCCGAGGGCTCCCAGCAGAGTATTTGAGAGGACAGGCAAGCACCGTGAGGAGCACGGCGTGGTGCTTATGGCTAAAACCTCTGCGTGGCTGGTTCTAGCAGGGAGCGTCTGAAGGAGAGCGATTCCCATCTTGCCCTTAAGGAAAAGGAGGGGGGAGGAGAATCGAATGAGAGAATACAAATTGCTTTTTCACCCCGTTTTGGAAATAGGCTTGAATGTTTGACACTTCATGACCATCCCAGAAAAGGGCGTTCATTACCTCCTGCTTCCTGATGCAGAGCCTTAAGAATGCCCGAGTCTAGTGCAGAAATATTTGTCTTTTAAACAGGCATGGTTTTTAATAAAGTATTAAATTTTTTTCCCCCCCTCTCTGAAGCCCGGGGCTCGGTGGTTGTGCTAAGGCCCCGGGGGAGGGGATGGGGAAAATCTTTTTAGTAGGGCCAGCAGTGACAAGACAAGGGGTAATGGTTTTAAACTAAACCAGGGTAGGTTTAGACTGGGTCTAAGGCAGAAATTCTTTACAATGAGGGTGGTGAAACCCTGGCAGGGGTTGCCCAGAGCGGTGGTGGAGGCCCCATCCCTGGGAACATTCCAGGCCAGGTTGGACGGGGCTGTGAGCAACCTGATGTGGTT